CTTCTCGCGAAGGTCTTTTTTCGGTCGAAAATGACAGAACATGACGTCACTCTGACGTCATTTGTGGCCAACCTATCATAGCCTCTGGTAAAATTTTTGGTCACAATGTGTAAAATTGATGCCCGAAGGGGTCCTGAAAGTTTGGTGGCGATATCTCCAGCCGTTTAGGAGATATCGACCGAAAAGGACAGGGGGGCCGTTTCGCCCCCCCCCCCCCCCCTACGGGGCGCGGGTTAACCTCTAGGCACACCGCTGAACGAGGGGGAACATTGACAGCCTTTTACAGCCTTAACTTAATCTTAGCACTTTGAGAAGGGGAACAATTAAGAACAACATGGTTATCAGACAAAAACCGCCACCCGAGCACAACATCATGGGTCAGGTTGTGCACAACAACAAAATCAACACCTGTCAATGTTTCACCATTCCCCAGCACGTCTACACTGAGACGACAGGTTCCCAGCGTGTTCAGACTGTGTCCAGAAGCAGACACTAATGGGACGGGCGGCTCCAGTTTCGCGTTAGGGGCGAGGACACTGAAAACTCTACTGTCAATGAGATTTTCTGTCGCCCCGGTGACTAGAAGGCAATCACTCACCGCGAAACCGTTGATGTTCACTTTGGTGATAGGAAGGTTTACCACCGTCCGCCCCGGCGCACGTTTGGGCAGTCGCGTTTGAGATGCCCGAAGCCTCTACACGCATAGCATTGCGGCGGACGTCTGCGCTGGTGCTGTTCGTCCTCTGGTGAGGACGAATCCCGCCTGTCGACCGAGGACCGGCCCCCGGCCCGCCGGCCCGGCGAAGATCGCGGTGACGAGGCGCCCAAAGCGACGCCGCCCGGTGACCGGCCACGTGAGTCACCACGGCTCCGCCACTCGTCACCAAAGGGCCGCCGCCCCGGGGAGCGGCCGGGAGACCGGCCACCTCGACCCAGCGGCGGGCCTGGTGATCGTCGTCGGAATCCACATCCGTCGCGCCCCGGAGGCACGTTGTAGCGTCGAGAAGTCGTCACCCGGTCCACGCTTTGACGCCGATCCTCCCGGGCTCGAGGCGGCTCCGGCCGGCCGTCGGCCGCGTCCACAGCATCACACTCGGCCCAGTGAACTCTGGGCCCCTCGGCCCTAACACCGCCGTCCTGAAGAGCTTCCTCTCGCAACAACTCGTCGACAGCTGCCTGAAACGTCGCAACACCCTGGCGAGAGAGGAGGAGCTTCTCCTGGTCACTGAGGCCCACCAGCAGATGTCGGTAGAGAGCCGCCTGATAACTGGTGCCACAACAGTTTTTCACTTTCCCTGTCGCGTCGAAAAACTCGGGACATGCCAGCCGTATCATTCTCTTCACTTCCAGAGAATACTCGAGGGCCGACATGCTGCCCTTCTTGAGGCCGCTCAGCTGCGTGGCAGCGGCCGCTGTAGAGGTAGTAGAAAAGGCGTGACGAAGGGCTGTCGTCACCTCTGCCCCGGCGGCTGCGCCCTCGACGACTCGCTGTGCCAGTCCGCGGCATCTGGCTGCGATTATACTCGGCAGCTGCGACACCGGAATACCACCCAAGTGAGATAAGCGCTCACACTGTTGAAGAAACGACTCCAGAGACGTTGAGCCGTCAAACAGCGGAAAATCCCCAAGTGCCACTCGCATCACCGGCTGGCTGCCGGCGTCGGCTGCTTCGTCCGGGTTCCCCATGGCCGAATATCACCGAGACACTGTCTAATAGTCACAGAAAGCGGCCACACCGACTAACAAGACCGATCCCACCGCTGCCACCATGTCGCGGCAGCTGACCGGACCCGTCGCAGTCGGACACACAGCGCATCCGGCCGTCACTGTATTCCGAAAACCACTGACCCCGGCCGCCCGGCTCGCGGCCGACCCGAGCACCACGTGACCGGCCCAGGCCAAGGTCACCTGAAAGGCGCCGCATCAACAGGCGCGCCCTCGACAGAGGTCAGGTCAAGTGCCCCAAGGTACGGTTCCGTGGTGAATAACTTAGCAAAAAAACGCCACAGAGCCGTGATTTTGGCAGCATCGTGTTCGCCTCGCTCAGGCGCGTCGAATGATATACCTACTTTTTGTTTGGGTGAGGTCAACTTAGGGTGTTGATTGTTGACCTCAGGTCACGGTCAGGTCAGCGCCCCTAGGTCACGAAGTTGGTTGAAAGAGATCATGTCGCATATCATTCGATTCGGCAGGTCTTCCTGAGTCCATTGGTGGCTTTCCCGACTCGCTAGCTCAATTTGATCGGGAGTTATTGACGAAAAACTAATATGACCCTAATGGCGTCATAAATGACGTAACGCAAGGTCAACATTGCAAAAGTGACGCATCAAATCTTGCAAGGAGTGCATCAGCCATCAAATCATGATTCTGTGTGCTTGTGATAGTTGGAGATCGTTCCCGGCGCCAGAATAGCAGTTTTCATTTTTCCCATTGACTTATACCTAATGGTGAGGTCACGAATATGACCTGACCTCATATGACCTTTAGGAACAATTCGAGATATGCAAGTTGTGAGACTGGTAATGGGTACTAGATCCTGCAAGTTTCATTTCCCTGTGAAAGCTCCTCTGGCAGTGAGGGCGTTGCGAAGTTGCGACATCTGAAGACCGTGCAGAGGTTCACTTATGACGTCATAGGTCAGTGATCTGACCTGACCCGAAAATGCGGTTGGTTTCAAAAGTTTCGTCTTGGAGCAACGGTCATGCATGCCAAGCTTCAATTTTCTATCGCCAGCGTGTTCGGAGCTATCGCGAAAAAAAAACCTATGGGGGGGCGGCACCCGCCCTCCCGTCGGCCGGCGAGGGTTAAAGGGACCCTCCCACCTTAACATTAGATTTGAGTTGAGATAGCCAAAATGGGGTCCCTGGCTCACAATTACCGGTTTCGACACTCACAACATCGAGAAATGCCTTAAATCGGAAATATTGAATTTCAAAATTGCAGCATTTTGATTCAGAGGGGCTAATGCATAGGAATACCCCTCTGAATGTGTGACGTCAGCGCAGATATCTAACGATTTTTAAATGTTTGACTAAAACGTTTTGTAGCACGCGGTGGTATATGCTGCTTTGCGCCCAACAAGTGCCGCACTTTCAGCTGCCAAACTATTGCTTCCAAATAAAGTCGCTAGGAACAGCGGAGATCCCAAAAAGTAAACAAAAGTAAAAGTCTAATACCTATCTTGAAAACCGGTGAATATTTTTCTGTGAAATTTGGTAGATATTCGTTTTCGCTCTTTCTGAACCGAGCGACATCACTTTCATGCCAATTCATAAACTTTTTTGAAGGTGGGAGGGTCCCTTTAAATGATATTATTGCTTAACCTTCCAGGCGGTGGGGGGGGGGGGGCAATTTTTTGCCCCCCCCCTTTAGTTTTTTCGATATATCTCGAGAACCGCTGCGCCGATCGTCACCAAACTTTCAGTACCCTCCCGGGAGCAGCTAGCGCACATGGTGACCAAAAATTTTTCCAAAGGCTATGATAGGTTGGCCGCTAATGACGTCAGAGTGACGTCATTTTTGCCATTTTCGACCCAAAAAAAGGTTTCGCGGGAAGAGCTGTCAGGCTTACAGCTTTAGAGATACAGAAAAATGTTTCAGACATAAAAGGTGTAAAATTAAAAGGGCTACAAAACTGCTATTTTGGTTTTTTCGAATTTTTTGGATTTTGACCTCCAAAAATCAAAAAATAGATTTTCTGAATATAATAGCAAAAAAATCCAAAAAGTTTTTTGAATTTCGAAAAAACCGGAATATATGTGATAGCCCCTACCGCCTTCTATCTACATACCAAATTTGAGATCGATACCTCTTTTTTTGGCGAAGTTATAGCGAAAAAACTGTTCAAAATTGATGACGTCAAATTTTCAAACTCAATTTTTAGCAATTCTAGACCTCGTAGCGCAAAACAAAGACCACCATTAGACTCCCCGTGACGAGCTGCATCGAATCGATACCCATTTTATGCATAAATATCAACTTTGAAATTTGACCTTTTTTGACCTGACCTTGACCTGACCTCCACCAGAAAGTGACCCAAACCGTACCTGATGGTCTTATAACCAACACCATTGAGTTGGAAATGAAAAACTGGCCATAAAACATGCATCGCATAACCTTAGTAAAGTTGGGCTCATGTGGTGACCCTTGGTGACCTTTGGTGACCTGACCTGTGACCTGACCTGGTATGACCAGTGACCTCTAATAGCAACATATGTACTAGACAACTGACGCCTTATCGCTGATTTTCGACAAAATGCGTTTTACTCGGTGTTATAGCGCTTTCCCTAGAAGCCCCGTGAACGGTGAAACATTTTATCTTTGACCTGACCTGTGACGTCATCGGTGACCCCGAGGTCAATGAAATTTGGTTTCCCTCGACAAATTTGACAGGGCTATCGAACGCCGTTTGAATTTTCCGGATCCGTCCAGTAGTTTCGGAGATACGGGGGGGGGGCAAAAAAGTGCCCCCCCCCCCCCACCGCGCGGAAGGTGGCTGGTAGGCCCACCGCCTGCCGGGTTAAAGCTGATCTAGCAAAAAAAGTAGCCATATATGTACATATACGTTCTCTGAAATATCTCTTTGAAACACCATCGGTCGTTTATTTTACGTCTATCTTCCGCAGTTTTTGAGGTAATCACATTTGACCCCTCCCTCCACCACGTTCCAGTGAACTTGTACCCCCAACGTGTCACGGTTTAATTGACAACTACTTGGTTGGTGTCTGATAAATTCAGCATAGGTCACCTCACACCTGAACGTTTCATAGCGACGCTTTCCTTGGATTATTTCAGACGCAACGTGAATTTAATATCGTTTGACATCATCAAAGGTGATATATGAGTTGTACCTGAACATACAAATCTTAAATGGAAAATGGGAAGGACATAAAATCAACCTCAGAGTGTGTTGGTCTGATCACCGTAGGCCTCGCACCGTTTTCCTCACGCGAACCAGAACGTTCTGTGTCCGGTTTCTGCTGTCGCACCCAAACAAAAGCTCACGTTTTTATATTTTATTACAAAACGTATAATTGGTCTATATGTTGTTCAATGGGCAGTCAGCGAGGGCAGGTCGAGCGGCCTCTCTGTATAGAGGCCTGCAGTCACGAATCACGATCAGTTCACGGCCGACGGCCAGGCAAAGCTGCCCGCCCGGGTGGACTGATTAGGACAGCTGCCGCCCGGCTGTCCGCTATAGGTGGGCGGCCTGGGACAGCTGCCGCCCGGCTGTCCGCTATAGGTGGGCGGCCTGGGACAGCTGCCGTCGGGGCCGGCTATTTGGTACATGGGTGAGATGTGCCGGCCGCCCGGGCCGTCTATTTGGTACATGGGTGAGATGTGCCGGTCGCCGGGGCCGTCTATTTGCTGGGCGAGCTGGACTTGCAGCACGACCTCTTGCAGCCGCAGCTGCCGCAGGAGCAGGATCCGGCCTGGCAGCAGGTGCCCACCGAGCAGCACACGTTCTCTGCGGACAGAGGGTCAGAAGGTCAGACCGTCAGCCCGGTCAGAGGGTCAGACCGTCGCGTCGGCCCGATCAGAGGGTCAGACCGTCGGAGGGTCAGAGGGTCAGACCGTCGGCCCGGTCAGAAGGTCAGACCGTCGGAGGGTCAGACCGTCGGAGGCACTGGCGGTCGCAGGGGGGGGCCACGGGGGCCATGGCCCCCCCTTTGGTGCCGAAAGGTGGGGCCATACTATCTTTTGGCCCCACCTTTCAGATCGAACAAAAGTCCTAGAAAAGCTTTTCGTATGTTTCATTTTCTTTCTTGCGCCATCAAAGGACGTAAATTTCACTCATAAGTGGGCTCAGTTTCGCATTCTGTCAATTTGGCGGTCAGCGTCGCTGGCACCGGTTCACGAGTATGGCCGGATCTTATATGGAATATCAGCGTGGGTTTACTTGAGGCTCTCGTAGGCCCAGCATTCAGCAATGGCTGGCATGAGACCCTCTTCGGCAGTGGCGGGTGGGCCCTGCTAAAGGAGATTGGCTCCAAGACACTAAAGTAAGACCTCATGGGTTGGTGCTGTGCACCTCAGAAGCTCGGTGGTGACGCCGTATGCCGGCTTGGTTTCTTAAGGATTAGCGTGGGACCTACGGGGCCTGCATAGAGTTTGCATGAGCTAGTATGTAATCTCAGAGGCATGTGTGTAATGTGTACACAGTGGCGGGGGCCGGGGGGGGGGGGGACATCAGGGCAATGCCCCCAAAGGTCAATAAAGGGGGCCATCATATCATTTGCCCCCCTCAAACAACCAATTGGCCCCCATATAGGTGTATGGGGCCCTGGCAATTATTCGATCGTCACGAGGCTAAAAAAAAAACCACGCCCAGCTAATAATACAGCTCCCACACCGGTCTTTGAACGTCCTACACTGACCTCTGAGGGAACTTCAGTGGCGGTCAAGCGCCCACGTTGACCGCTAAGAGCCTACATCAACCTCTGAGGCCCCACATCTGGCCTATGAGGGCCCCTAACCAGCCTCAGGGGTCCCAACCGGCGTCTGAGGGTCTCACACCGGTCTCTGGTGGCCTTATTTCTGTCTCTGGTGTCCCAAGACGAACCTTTAGGTGCCAATAAGGGCCCCGCACTGGCTGCTGAAGACCCGATGCCGGCCTCTAAGGGTCTGCATTGGCCTCTGAGGAGGGCCAATCTTGGCCTTTGAGGGCCCTCTGCTGGCCTCTGGGGTCCAACGACGGCTCATGCCGGTCTTTTAGGGCCCCACGCTGACCTCTGAGGGCCCATGCTGGCCTGTAATGAGTAAGGACCCACATTAGCCTCTGAGAGCCCAACTCGGTCTCTGATGGTCTCAAACTACTGGTCTTTGTAGTTTGCAGGCCCTGTACTGGTCTCTGAGAACCCTAAACTAGCCTCTACATGAAAACATACATGGGTGGGTTTCTGAAGATCAGAGGGCTCACGCAGTCTCCGGCACAGCCTTACGTTGGTCCTGATCGAGATTGCTTTACGTCCTGATGGTCCCGCGCTGATTCCCTCATATTTCGAGGTCGGGACCCCATGAGCCGGTGTGGGTCCTGGGGCTGGCAGAGACTGATGAAGTCCTTAGGGCTCAGGGCCAGTCTTTTTAGCAGTAGGACTAGGCAGGTTGAGTGAGCCCCAACAGAGCCGTTGCGAAGCCCCGCAGGAGTCGCGCGCGGCCCTCAGATGCCAATTCTGAAAGCTCGGAACCTGTGGGGGTCTCCAGAGGCCGGTGTACCTACTCTCTCCCGCCGCCACACAAGTAGGTACCTATATGGGTAAATGTCATAGTCTAAAAATGCTCTCTGGGTTTCACATGCTTGTTCAAAGCAAAAGGTATCTGTACTTTTTAGCAAGATGTATCTGTACTTTTCCGAATTGTTTTATAGTGGTAAGGTCATGAATCCGCGTGCCTGACCTTCCAGTATACCTATGCTGGAAGGTCAGGTCCTATACCGATCCGTCGTCATGGACGGTGCAGCGGCCCGACCGGTGGGCACACCGTGAGACGGTAAATGGAACTGGTGATTTTGCCTTAAATTGAGCTCAAAGATTTCACGCAAGAATGAGATGGATGAAGCATAAGTAATGCCAACTGTGCGGCGCCTCGTGGACGTAAAAAAACTAGCCGATCACCCCCCCCCCCCCCCTCCCGGTGACGGATAAATGTTATGTCCCGCGAGTGACTTTGGCCCCCCCTTTTGCTAGCGGCTGCGACCGCCAGTGGTCGGAGGGTCAGAAGGTCAGCCCGTCGGCCCGGTCAGAAGGTCAGACCGTCGGAGGGTCAGAGGGTCAGAGGGTCAGGGGCCGGTCAGCCCGTCGGCCCGGTCAGAGGGTCAGCCCGTCGGCTGCCGGCGGCTGTGGCTGACTGCGGACTGTGAACAGTCAGTCCGCTGACCGGAGACCAGCGTCGGGCCTCAGAACGGCTTTAACGCGGCGCCGCCCGGTCCAACGGAGCTGGCAACGGAGGACAATTCTCCACCCGGGCGTGCTGATCAAGGTTATTGCAGGGTGACTAGGGCCTATAGCAGGGACAGGGATGGGGATGGGTGGCTTGTTCGTAGGAAACCGTCTACCTAGGTTCACGGCTGTGGACGTTTGGAGTGAGCAATATAGCTCGGAACAACGACATGAATCATAGGTTCTGAGTGTACCAACACGACAGCCTTACATTGTTTCTTTTTAGTTCATTTTACCTATCTTCAAAGGAAAATAAAAAATAGTTGTGCTGGAGCCGACTATGTTGCTTATTTCCGTTTACCTTCAAAATTTACCCATTCTTTCAAATTATTCCCCTCAATCATCCTATATACCTACGTATGTGCCTATAAGGTAGGTACAGGTCTCGCGGGTTTTAGCGGTAGATTTTGCACCTAGAAAATTTAGTGTACTTCAGGCTATATCTTTGTCGTCTTAAGCTTTTTAGTGTTGAAGATGCGATCGACTTGTTGGGTAACAAGCCGGCCATGATCGTGTAAAATGACTTCATCGTAGATCGATTAGTTTCTGAGCTATAACCAGAAATGTAAAAGTGCAAAACCTACCGCTTAATCTCGCGAGACCTGTACGTCACTCCAAAGATTGTGTTTTGTTTCCCAGATTATAATAATCGATCAAAATACTCTGATCGATTATGAGATATCTCAACATAACAATTATCAGAATACGTCTATGGGCTGCTGCCCAACATTTCCAAAGTGTTCGCACGAAATCTAGCCGGAGGCCGATTCCCCCTCCAGAAAAAAAAGGTTGCACCGATCACATTTTGGCCAAACTAGGTGTGCCAGTACGTTACTCACTGTTGCAGCAGCAGTTTCCGCACTTCATGTTGATAGTCAGTGGTGTCCGTCTGTCTTCCTCCAGCGCCCGAAACTTTGTGAATCAGTGCCCAGCTGCGACGCGCGGTCTCTTTATACCCGAGAAAACTGCAGGCGTTAGTGCCGGGTGCAAAACTGCGCCGCCGCCAACGATCCGCTCTGCGCGGCGCGGACGGTACTGGGAAGCGGCTAGTACTGGGTGCAAAGCCGCAGTGCCGTGGGCAGCGGGCGGGCGGACGGGCGGGCGGGATGCGGACGGTACAAATCCGGCCGCTCCGCTCCGGCGGCCTGCGGCGGCTTAGTGAGGTAATTACACTTCCGCGGCGCGGCGAGGGGAGGGAGCCATCGGACAACAATGCCCGGGTACCCACACCGAGGCGGGAACATGGCGGGGCTGACGCAGGCCGCTATACCGCAGTGTTACTCACCGAGCTCACTGGCGTCAGAGAGAACCGGCAACAGTTTCTAAGGCCCCCTGGGTAGGCAAGGTCCATTCTAAACAAGCATTTCAATTTATACTTATTCATATGATCATAGTTAGCACGATTCATGTACTGTACATAGGGGAAAGTGGGGTAAGACGGTCAGGGACGGTAGGCAAGACGGGCATCCCTTCTGCAGACCAAACCAATAGCGCTACGAGCGAGAAAATTTTTGATCAGAATTGCCTTTCCCGCTACACACCACCATTGAAGTCTGGTGAATTTGTGTTCAGTCGATAACCTTTTATTTTGATTTCTTTAAAACACTCATTTCATTGAAAATATCCATAATGTAGGTATTGTGCAAGCTTTTGTGTGCAGCAAAAGGGACTATCCCACCTTCTAAAATGTTGTTAAAACCAGTTAAATTGTGCCCGACTTTATAGATTGGATGACCAGGAATACGGTTCTGGCATTTATTTTTCATTAAACATCTTAGGCTTCCCATATTCCAAACACAAACTTTCAAATATGTGACGTCACAGCCCAAAATTACCTCCTTCCCCAGGCCACATTACCAGGGCTCAAAAAAAGCTCCGTCCTGCCGATGAGGTCGGCGACCACGAATGCTATAACATTTCCCAGTGGTGCGACCAAAAACGCGAAATATCAAACAAATTTTCGAAGAATATCTTTAAAAACTATATAAATATTGTTAAGAATATTGCCATAACTTCAGCATCACTTATGCGCATCATTAAGTCATTGGTCACCATGGTTCTTCCACGATACAACCTGGACACTGGACGGTGAGCAAACATACCACTGTTGTAGGATAAACTACCACCTTCCGTACACGGGAATACTACCACGTTTCCCCATCGGCGCTCGTCGGCGTTTTCTGTGCGACCACCCGTGTTAAACCAATGGGGAAGAGCGGTTGTCAAAATCGCCGACGAGCGCCGTTCATTGGTCGCCCAGATGGTCTCCTACTACGCAGTAGGTACGCGGCGTGGCGTATTACGGGACGGGACGCTCACCCACCGCGCCGGCCCGCGTATTTACAAATTGCAACCGAGCTCCGCCGTGGGGTAAGGTGGGCAGGGGTTTTCGCACTACGGCTGCGGTTGAACTACCGTCTGTGGTAGAAACTTCAGGACGATGGCGCGTTTCATACGAAATCTGGCGCAATGTTTGTTTGCTTCTGTACTTGTACTGTTATTTGCTGTGAATTCTTGAAGTGGGAGTGTTTCAATAACAATTTATGGATTATTTGAGTTTCTTTATATAAACATAATACTGATATGATCAATTACTTAGTTTGGGAATTGATACACATTTTGTAGAGATTTGTCTGGCAAATGGTGTAACAAACCTCAAGCCTATCATGATCTGAAGCTGTTATAGGTAACATCAAAATTGCTTCAATGTTACCTTGTACCTTGTTGGAAAGACTGGAGCATGTTTCAAGATGATGCGTAAAAATTCAAGATTTGTGCGAAAGCTTGTGACTGAAGAACGAAAACAGTTTGATATGATGGCTCAATCAAACGTGGAAATGGACGACAAAAGTAGAGTTTCAACATTCCAGCATGTGAGAATAACTTCAGAAATTCATAGTTCTTGTAGTATTGCATTCTTCTTATGTACAGTTAATAGGTTTTGTTAGGGTATTTCAAATTCATTGTGTCAGTTGTGAGTTGAGACATAGATGGATTGCGGAAAGTTTTTTAGAATCATTGTATGGTACCTAGCTAGGTACCTACTTGTTCGGTAAAAAGGTATGTGTTGAATGCCATGAGAAGGTTTTTTATGATTTAATATATGGTCGTTGTTGTACCTACAAAAATGCAAGCTTACTAGCAACTAGTTTCTGAATCAAATTGAAAGTACCTATTTGCCATGAATGTAAATATGTACCTGCAAAGTATGTCAATAAATTTGTGTGATGTTGACCAGAGAGTTTTATCATCTGGGCATTTATGTCGCTTCCTACATTAGGTGTTAAGCATAGTAATTACGGATGAACTTTGTGCCAATATCTTCAATGCACATTGCACAATGTATTAGCATGTCTACAACCCTCACTGATCCTGCTATAGCTATAGGCATTTGGCACCAGCTTGACCAAGGGCATGAACTTCACAGTTGCACAACCTTTTGTTTTGTCATGTACCACCAGTCATTTTTTTGTGCACCAGTCACTTTTTTGTGCACATAGCAGTGCACACAACAATGTGCAGAGGGCCTACACTAAAACAACATGATTAGTGTGCACTATGCACAGCATTGTACCCTGATTATTTGAATATTTTGACCACTCAACAGTCAACAGTCAGGAGATAATTATTTAATATCACATTTATTATACATCACTTGTCAAACAATAGCATGATGACACACATTTTGACAAGCATTCATGGTAGTATTCCAATAAGTTGGACAGTCACCTCCCTGGGCGTCATTTTTCCGGGAAGGTACCTCTGCAGTGTTGTGGTAGGCTAGGTTGAATTGGGTTAAGTTAGGCGAAGTAAGGTGGTTAGGACCAGGTCAGACCGTAAGGCCTGGTCAGGTTGATTTTAATCTTTCATTCTAATTTGACATAGATACCTATTCCCTATGTTTTTGCTCCAGCCTGAATTTCATTAGGTAATGAGTTAGTTTTGCTTTGTTTTTATCTGTCTTGTTTTGTGTTTTTGTCCCTTATATTTTGCCCCATAGGCAAGGGTGGATCTTTTCCAGGAAAGGTGGTGGAGCATGATTGGAGGCGCTCAACCAGACGGCATAGGAGGGCTCGATTTCTGAACGCGCACTGATGCCTGATTCAAGCCACGCTGTCTTCATGCGGGGCGGCGCGCTACTTAAAAGTCCCTAAAAGAACGGGAAATGATGCCGATAGAACCTTCAATCATTCTGGGCTAACGCTTATGACTTGGAAAAAGTCGCGATCCCAATTCAATCGAAAACCTGTGGGCTCTTGTTCAGCAGGAGGTGTATGAAGAGCCACCCGCCATAAGCACTGCTCAACCGCAGGCACAGGTTTAGACGGCGTTGGTCCGCATCAAAGCCAGTGTGCTGGAGAATTCATTGGCTGAAATGCTCCAGAACGTTCACCACTGTGTTTTTATGAAAGGTGGCTACAAGCTCAGTTAAAAGAAAAAGTACCAGATTGTTTTGCTTTTTAATTACAGCGGGAAGAAAGGTGTCCGGATAATTTCGTTACACCCCCTGTAATGTTCAAATCCTCCTCCTATAATTGGGACAACACAAGAGCCCGTTGGAGGGAGGCCTGAATAAAAAAATAGTTGCTAAATTCGAAATCAGCTCCAAAAACTAGCCTAGAAACATGTAAAACTCGAAAAAGGAACCGAGGTCATCAAAGGTCATTGAGCTGACCTGACCTTCAGGTGACCTTGACACCCACCCTAATGCATGGGACCAGCATCATATCACATGTTTCAACGCTTGAAACCACGTGAAGACTGCAACCGCGCGGCTAATGCGATCCGACATACGCCGAATCGCGATTCGGGCCAAACATGGTCTCGAGAAATAGGTCACAGGTCAAAGGTCATTTAGGTCAGGGTCATGAAATTTTCAGGGTAGGTGTAAAATTGATAAAATCGGGGGCATTGAAATTTTCGTCGCGATCGGACGGTTTTTACACGAGTTACTCACGAAAAACCGATAAAGCGCACCCAAAAAGGCAGAAATATGCACAAGCGATATCCTATACTGCAAAAAAGTGCATCATTTTTTTAACGTCGCCGACAAATTGTAATTACCCTAAGCTCAGGCAGATGTATGGTAGAAAATGCCCCAAGTGAAATACACTACGGCGGAAATAAAATACCCTACGGCGGAGCTCGGTTGCAATTTGTAAATACGCCCGCGTGCGTTAGGCTCCGCCCATAGCTCCGCCCACATGCGTGACGTCATTCGTGTTAGTGGACACACGCGGAGATAGGGGACGACATGGGCCTGCCGGCCGCCGATCGTTGACTCGTTGACAAGACACTAATTTCCATTCTGACAGCAGGGGAGGATAGTTTGGGTCTGTATTCGGCCTGAAATTGATTGCTTACAGTAAGTTCAGGGTTTTTGTATGATTCTATGAAGTATTAATGTTTGTATCTCATAATTTGGGCTAGTGTGTTTATGGTTATCATCTCCTAACTCAACAGTCTCTCTGTGCCGCAAATGTCACAGTCGCGTCATATGACAGGTTTTAGGTAGAATACGATCTATTTTTCACTAAATCGGGGTTAAGGCTATTTCCTGATGGAATGCAAAATGAAAAAAATATAAAACAGTACCAATAGATATGGCGGTCCCGCAGGCCGCAGGTATCCTTCCTCGCTCCTCGGAGTGCACCTATTTACTTATACTTAGGTAGGTAGTAGGTACTTACTTATACTTATAATGTTTGGAATTTTGAAAGGCCACTTGGCCTCAAGGATCCAGTCCTTTCAAACTCCTTACTGACTCATTGTCCTGACTCAGTCATTTAGGTGAGTTGTGTGTTTCAAATGTGCCCAGTGTTTGTCCAGGGCACGTAGGTCGAAAAACAAGGCACACTGGCCCAAGTTCAAAATCCGCACCAACCCTTCAAACTGAGCCAGAAAATTTGCACCAAAGCGGGCCGAGAGCCCAAAAATCCGCACAGAACCCATAGCAGTAGGTGGAACTATGGTCATGAGTACCCAAATATAGGAACGTTCCCATTTTTGGGAACGGAGTTCCCAAATATGGGAACGGGCGTTCCCATTTATGAGAACGGAAGGTAATTTTTCGGCCGTTCGCCCACTAAAACTCATTAGTGCATCACGTCTCAAAAAAGTGCATGCTAATTTAAGTATCTACTAAGTCTCTATAAAATTATCTTTAATCTGACCGTTGAACAAGGAAATTGACCGTCGAATGATATTTTTAATGATTTTTTGAAATGACGGAATGGTGAAAACATGGGTTATGCTACATTTAGCATGCAATTTTAAGGAAAATGAAGCGTTTTTTACATTTTGAGGTCAAGTATAATAATTTTCGCCTGGTTATGAAGTTTCATACTAGCGACATCAGATGCTGACATATGCAAGCGAACACGCGGACAGTCCCGAGGTAATATTGTTGACTTTTCGTGTCGGGGCGCACGACCGCGTGGAACGTCAGTGATTTTACCGAACTACTGTTGTAAACTCAGTTTCAGTGGTTTAAAATTATTCAGCTGTATTTTATCATCCCGGAAAGACATATTTTATTTGGATGCTAGCTGTTTAGCGTTGCTTTATAAGGAGCGTCACGAGCGTGGTTTTTGTCTTCCGTGTTTCCAGGCATGATCGTTTTGGGGGAATTTCTCTTATATAGGTCGCTCTGTGTGGCTTATTTATAATTTTTATGCTGATTTCGATCATTCCTCGTGCCCATCCTACCAGGCCTTTTGCCACTTACACTCATTAAGAAAGGAAAAAACTAGATTTTCATTGGGACTAGGTGTTTTGAGGGTGTAACATATTCAGCGTTCCCATTTTTGGATACTTCCTTGTGCTCGTCAACTATCGGTGATAAACAGACAGGTGCTTGACATGTCTCCACCCTCGGCGCGGACGGTGGATATAGGTATGGAAGACCTTGTTGAACATCGCTGAGCGTTGTGAATTACGTAATCCTGCAGAGGGGGGCGTGCCCGCTGCGAGATCGACGGGAATAAAAACGCAGAAGACCGGGCGAAACATGCGACGGTCTTGCCGAGGGGTGTTCACGGGCACCGCACACTGCTGCGTGCGGTGTGTGCGGTGCGTCCAGCAGGCGTGGGGGTAGGGGATGGGTAGGCGGCTCTGACATCACGGCTGCGTGCGGTGGACGGTCCGCTGTGGCCAGTCCCGACCGGCCACAGCGATCGCTGTGTGCGGTGACGGAATGCTGACGTAGGGACGAAGTGGGTGGAGCTTCGAGGCTGTGTGCGGTCCGACCGCACACAGGGCCCGTGAACAGCCCTCCGGAAAGGTCATCTGATGATTGTTGCGTTAACAATAATTTGCGGCGTTGGACGTGATGCTTGTTAATGAAAAGAGCCCCTGAAAGGCGTCGGTGAAATCGTTCCCAATTTTGGGTACGCCGTTCCCATAATAAGGAACGCTTGCAGCGCCAGTGTACGAGAGCGTTCCCAAATTTGGGCTCGCGGCCCGGATGATGGACTGCTTTAGAAATAGGGGAACGATTTGAAACTACGATGGGCCTTACAATATCAAACTCTTTCCCAACAATATTGATACAAATATCAGGCGGTTCACGATCGTTTTATATTTTTTGGACGTCATTTAACGGTTCTTTTTCTTGTTTTAAATAATGCCTACATGGCGTTCCCATATTTGGGTTTATCGTTCCCAAACATGGGAACGAAAATGCGTTCCCGAAAATGGGTACGCTTGACCATAGTTCCGCCTACTGATAGGCAATTATAATGCAAGGGACTTAATTCATCTACTACTAGATGGCATGTTTTGCGCTCTAACTGTGCGTTTTGATATATGCGTTTGATGGGGCATTAGTTTGGGGGTGGCAACTTATGATTTTTATTTGTCTTATTTTGCCGGAGTTGGATATTTGTTTGAACGGCATGGTATGCTGGTGCTGGTTGCGGGCTGTTAGAGCCTTTCTCATGGTTTGCCTTTATGGAACTCAAACCCACCCTACCCTACCCTAACCTACCCATACCCTACCTTACTCATAACCTACACATAGTTACCCTTCTCATACTCGATTAAAGTAACGTACCAAATTTGAGCGCAATCGGCCCAGCCGTTATTGAGATATAGAAGCGGCACACTGCACGTGCGCATGCGCTAGCTGAGATTCCAGATGACTTGTGCCAGCCACCTTTCTAAATTGTCCCCAACAGTGAACAAAATTTGAGCGAAATCGGCCCAGCCGTTCTTGAGATGTAGAAGCTGACCCCTCACGTGCGCACGTGCAATCGATCCACCCTACCTGTGACAAACGACCATGCATCGCCAGGTGAGTGCCCCCTCCACCCACAGTCCAAGTTTCAGCTCAATCGGCCCAGTAGCAGCTGAGTTATTCCTAGTACAATCATGTGCTGTTTCCTGGTAGGCGCTTATTTGAAGCATTTGGGTTTCCGCTGGGCGGGCGGTGCATTGCAGCCCATGCTTTGATAGCTATTGTGAAAAAGTGGACTGACCTGACGGACATAGCCATCGATCGGATTTTGTCGAAAAATACCTGTAACGTTAACAAAACACGGTCGTGTGTTTGAGTCATTTTCACAAAAGTTTATTGACTTTTCGACAATATTTTGGGTGGATATTGGTCAGAAAAGAATGCTCTTTCCGAATATGTAGGTTTCATAGCGATTGATCTGCGTTTTCAATGCGTTTTGATGTTGTAAAGTACATCGCGCTCCGCACGAATTAAATTTTCAAACTAATTTTTCATTAATAAGGAAACGGTACGGATCATCACTTATTATCTGCTATCCGCTGATTACACGTACATTTGCCTGCAAAATGGCACCACACCGATTTCATTCCGTCAAGCCGTTTTCCAGCGGCATCGATTTTCCCGTCACAATGCACGAAATCGGTCATTTTTTCGCAACCGCGGGTATTGCCTTGCACGTGACGCGTGCTATACTATGAAACCATATCAATACGCTAGGCCCATCTCTCCTCTATCCATTGGTGGCAGCCGCTTCTCTCTGTGACCACCGGTTGCCGAGATCTAAGCCCGGAAAGCGATACATGTCGGCCCGTTTTTCGCCCGTCGTTGGTGGTTTGCGCCGGCACCGTGTTATCTCTATGGAAGCGACCTTTTGCACGTGCCGACGGCGCACCCCTGGGCCAATCCGTCCCAAATTTTAATCCAGAGGTGACATCAACCCACCGATTCGGCATGCCAAATTTCACGTCGCTACGTGCCGCCGTTCCGACGCAATAAGACACATAAGACATGACACACGGATGGAGAACGCACAGACATGTTATAAATCATAATGGGTGGAGACTTCCATTTCGCGTCTAGCTAGACGCGTCTAAGTCTTAGACGCGTCTAGCTGGACGGCGGCTGCGTCTATCTGGCGACAGCTAACTTTAGACGCGTCTAGCTTGGAAGTCTCCGTCCAACAGTTAGACGCCAAGTTAGACGCCAACTTGGACGTCTGCTCAGTTAGACGCCAGTTGGACGCCAGTGGAAGTCTCCACCCAATATAGATAATTATTTCCCGTGCAATTTCAGTTTCAATTACCGCTTGAGCAACACTCACCACGGGACCGCGCCGCGCACTTGTACCGGAAGTTTGAAATAGAGCAAATAGACGGACGTCTGTGAAAATAGGGCGCTGGAGGGCATATTGGGTCACGTGACATTCGGAACTTCTCCCCCTCTGTGGGCCTTCTACATGCTAAATGTCACATGTGAATTTCACGAGCCTTGATCAAATCGCCCCAACAAACTTAAGTATGAGTAAAAACAATGATGTCATTCCAAAGTAGCGCGCTGATTGGCAATCCAAACCAGCTGATCGCAAATGTGACATATATAGCACACAATCACCAGGGCAGTCACCACCGCAACCAGTCTTCGTTCTAATGACGTCTTTCTCACGATAATTCCCGAGGCGAGAATGGATTTGTTCTGCCGCAATTGTTAGTTCATAGAGTAAATTTAAAACTGTGGTCCGTCACCGTGCGTCACTGTGGCTGGCACGCATTTATAGGGCTTTCCAAAGAACAGTCAGGTAGCCCGGCAGGGAACCCGGCCGAGTAAGAAGACCAAGCGAAGTCCGCACCGCACCAAGGTCCAAGCCAAATCCGCACCAGCCGAACAAGCCCGCACCGACGAGATCTCGTCGAAATTGCCATACTTTGCAGTCTGGCTTTGAAGGCGTTCAGGTTGGGGGCATCGTCAACTGATGGCGGGAGTCCGTTCCAATCGTTGATGACTCGGAACGAGAAGACTCAAGACATTTCGATGCACTCGGAATACAGCCCTCGGTTTTGACAGCTTCCATTGTTGTCCATGGGTGTTGCCTGTCGCTGCCGCCGCAAAGAATCCCTCTGCCTCGAGGTCAA